AGAACTGGCCTCTTGTTTCTGTTTTTACTGCTTTCAAAAATAAGCCACCTTATTTTCACAAGGCTGACATTTGGAAACAGGATGGTTCAAGGTCCTACCCAACAGCTTTCTCTAGTAAACTAAGTAGAATCTTAGGAATTCTGCCCAGATAATTGGGAACTGGTTTTGGATACAGGGAAGGTAGGTATCCCTAGGGCAGGGGTAGGCAACCTTGCTCTTTTATGACTTGTGGACTTCAACTCCCAGAATTCCTGAGCCAGCCATGCTAAGGTGAAAGGGAGGTTTCCAAGCTGAGCCATGCTGGCTCAGGAATTCTGGGAGTTGAAGTCCACGAGTCATAAAAGAGCCAAGGTTGCCTACCCCTATACTAGGGAATTTAATTGCTACTGTGTCAAGGTATTGATTTAACAGCTAACCAGCTGATGTAATCATTGTAATGTAAGATGTAATGATGGGAATGACTCAGCAGGGTCTGCGTCTCTTTAAGAACCTTTGTATAAAGGGAAGGCTCCGCTGATGTGTTCTCTCTCTTCCGTTTCCTGCTATAACTGTGGTTTGTTGGATCCTGCCGTATTAGCACATGTATATATATTGTTCCTGGTGTATGATATTGTAGATGGTGTAAGATAAACCACCATTTAATATAGACCACTGTTTACTGTGTTTACCCCTGGCTTTACTCCTCGCGCAATAAGACTGTGCACGCTCTAACATACTGTTGTGTGTATTATTTGATTCTGATAACTGTCCACATCTGGATGTTAAGGTTTATAGAACTACAGCTAGTCCTCACGTTATCACCATAATTGGGACCAAAATTTCAGTCGATGAGCCAAGTTGAGCCACTCCCAATTTTGCTGTAATTTTTGCACGGTTGTTAAGTGAAACATTGCAGCTGTCAAGTGAATCAGGCAGTCATTAAGTGAACCGGGCTTCCCGTATTGGCTTTAGTTGTTGGAAGCTGGCTGGGAAGCTGCCAGTTGCTGCAATTGTAAATACATGTCAGTTGTTCATGTGGCCATGGGAACGCCACACTGGTTGTAAATGTAGGCCTGGTTGTCACTTTGTTTCAATGCTGCGGTAGCCCAAAAGTGTCGGTCGCTAAATGAACGGTTGTAAGTCGAAGACTATTTGTAGAAGGTAATTTAAGTTTAAAGTAGCTGTACTCACCGGTGGTCCCAAGTACAAAATTAGTTGTTCATAGCTAGTAGGGCCTTCGTTCTGAAGAGGGGAAGGAACGCCACTCAGAGATGACCCTCTGGATTAGGGGTCTTCCAACTTGGCCCTTTTATGACCTGTGGACTTCAACTCCCAGAATTCCTCAGCCAGGCACGCTGGCTGAGGAATTCTGGGAGTTGAAGTCCACAAAAGGGCCAAGTTTGAAGACCCCTGCTCTGGATGGAAGAGGCAACACCAGGTGTGATGGGAATAAACTGAACAGCAGCTTGAGAAGATTTGGCTTTCAAATTCTTGGGGGGGGGAGAGCATTCTGCTCTTGAATGCAGGACCATCTTTGGTGTCACTGCAGGAGCAACACATACCCACACACACACACAATTATGGAACATATGAGCCGCATAATGTTCAGTGGAGATTAAAATGTTCCCTTGTTGAGGCATTTGAAATCTTGAACCAGGGTTTCTTTCTTTCCATGCCAGGTTATCAGTTTGTACGGCAATCCAGATTTGGTTTATGGTAAAGAGAAAAAAAAACCTCTTGCAAAAGAATGCTGATAAAAGATACCATAATTTTGCTTAATGCCATTTGCTAGATGCAGAGAAAAAAATGCTTCAAAGAAGTACTTTGCTCCAACACTGGAAGTTTTAAAGAACGAGACTAGACCAGGGGTCCTCAACCTTGGCCACTTTTAAGACTTGTGGACTTCAACTCCCAGAATTCCTCTGGCTGAGGAATTCTGGGAGTTGAAGTCCACAAGTCTTAAAATGGCCATGGTTGGAGACCTCTGGACTAGACAAAACATTTGTCTGAAATTGTATAGGTCAGGGGTAGTCAACCTTGGCTCTTTTATGACTCGTGGACTTCAACTCCCAGAATTCCTGAGCCGACATGGCTCAGCTTGGAAACCTCTCCCTGTCCCCTCAGCATGGCTTGCTCAGGAATTCTGGGAGTTGAAGTCCACAAGTCATAAAAGAGCCAAGGTTGCCTACCCCTGGTATAGGGTTTCCTGCCCGAGCAGGGGGTTGGACTAGAAGACCTCCAAGGCCCCTTCCAACTTTATCATTACTACTACTACTACTACTACTACTACTACTACTACACTACTACTACTTTGGACTGTGTTCTCATCAAACCTTCCAATTTACCCAAAGCAGGTAACGTTAAGACCAGATAGAAATAAAGCCCAGGGTCTCCATCAGGGATGTCCAAGAATTCTGGGCATTGAAGTCCACAAGTCTTAAAAGTTGACAAGGTTGGACATCCCTGGTCTGCATCCAGTGCTTTGTCACTAAAACCCCACCAGTAGTTGCCTGAGAAACACAGATTAGTGAAGTGACTATTATCTCTGCGTTCTCTCTCTCTCTCTGTGTGTGTGTGTTTTGGGCCAACTGCAGGGAACACACAAACCGTGTTCAACACTTGCAGGTTTTACAACTTGACTGCAGGGGGCAGAGCTGCTTAAACTAATCCAAGTTTCTCCTTTGACCTGCTTTTCCCTGGTTTGTTTTGTTCCCTCTTCAAGCACGCAGTTGTGTTACAGAAAACATTAAGCAAATGATGGGCCCTGGGAGGCTGCCGGAGGGTAACCAACTACACAAAGGAAAGCCGACTGTCTTCTGAATTAATTTTGACCAGAAGAAACTTGGGATGTTTTGTTCCTCCCTTATAAAAAGAGAAATGGTCTCCGTTCATGTAATCTGAACAACAGCTCCAGGCACTTGGCACCCCAATATTTCTTGTTGTAAAAAATATATATTTCAGGCAGTATAAAAAACACAATCGTGGTGCCTTTTAAAGAAAATGTGTGATGTGTAGTATGTTTGTGTGAGGTTTTAAGCACCTACGGGTAGTCCTCAATTTACAACTGTTGAAAGAAAAATCTTCATCAGGGTCTGGTCCAAGCTGGGAATAAACAAAATGGAGACTGCTTTAGAAAGAAGGTTGCAGTTTATTGAAGAGGAGAGTCAGACAGAAAGATGGCTCTGGGAAAGCTGACCAGCTGGGAGTGGTGGGTTTTTATACCTTATTGGGCTTTTGTGTTGTTCCTGTGGCATGAACTTTGACCTGAGTCCGAGTGTGTCTTTCTGGTATTCTGATAATGGTGGGCTAATCCTATTATGTCCCAAAGGTCATATCCTGCTTCCCTGAGGGTGTGGCTGATGAGTGTTGGATTTTTTTTGGTGTGAGGGATTGTTGATTCTTTCTAATTCCAGCTTCCTGGGTCCAATCTTTCTGACAAGATTATCACATCTGCATTTCTGCAGACCTGGTTTCTGTTTGGGGCAGACAGACTTGGGGTGTGTGTGTGTTGGTTTCTGCCTTTTTTAATATTTCCCAAAATATTTCTTTCTCTGGATTCTTCCCACACGACCATTAGTTTACCAATCATTCAATGATATTGAAAAAAGTGACTCATGATTGGTTTTCATGCTTATGACCACTGCAGCATCCCCCGTGGGTCATGTGATCAAAATTCGGATGCTTGGCAATTGATTCATATTTATGACGGCCGCAGTGTCCCAGGGTCATGTGATCCCCTTTTGTGACCTTCTTACAAGCAAAGTCAATCGGGGAAGCCCAATTCACTTAACAACCGGGTTACTAACTTAACAACTGGAGTGATTCACTTAACAATCGTGGCAAGAAAGGCTGCTTGCCAAGAGAAATTTTGAGCTCAATTGTGGTTGTTAAGTGGAGTCTACCTGTATCCCGGGGTCATCTGATTTTGCGACCTTCCCAGCCGGCTTCCAACAAGCAAAGTCAATGGGGAAAGCCAGATTCATTTAACGACTGCAGTGACTCACTGAATGTGGCAAAAAGGACTGTAAAATGGGTATGACTCACTTAACAACTGCCTTGCATAACAATGGAAATTCTGGTTCCAATTGTGGCTATAAGTTTTGTTGCTCTTCTCTGCTCTCTTTCTAGAGTCTCAACATCTTTTTTACATCGTGGTGACCAAAACTGGATGCAGTATTCCAAATGTGGCCTTACCAAGGCATTGTAAAGCGATATTAATATTTCACGTGATCTTGATTCTCTCCCTCTGTGAATGCAGCCCAGCACTGTGTTGGCCTTTTTGGCAGCTGCAGCACACGGCTGGCTCCTATTTAAGTGATTGTCCACTAGGATTCCGAGGTCCCTCTCAAAGTGGCTACTTTGGGGCAAGGTACCCCTACCCCCTATACTATACCTGTACATTTGGTTTTTCTTGCCTAAATGTAGAAACTTATTTTTTTCCACCGTTCTTCAACTCCCCGAATGATTCCCCAGCCAGCACTCAAAAAACGAGGAACGAGAATAGGGAAAGAAACCAAAACAACCGAGTCTGCTTTATTGAGAGAAAGCTGGCTTATTTAAAACAATGACCTATTCCAACAGTCACCAAAACTAAGGGCAGCCCGACGAGCTTGTAAGGACATTCTCTCCCTCGGCAGAGGCCAAACGGGTGTTGGGACAAGATGGAGGTGCTGCATGAGAGTTACATTCCGGCTTGTCTTCTGGCCTTTGCAATTAATTGCCGTCTAAAATGTCACTGGACTAAAAGGAGACACCACCAGATAAGCTGGAAAGACGACCCTACACACACACACATATATATATGAGCTTCAGATTCTTGCCTCCCTTCTGGCTGGACGCTCTGAGGACACCGAGGTTGGGGGGTGGGC